AGGACAGATGGATGATTTAACCCCGATTGCGCAAAGACCGGGAACATAAAAAACGGCAAATGACTGATCCGCGTATATGAAATACGTGAGAATGGAAACAAAAATGGGGCGGTGGCAGTGGCAGTGGGAATGACCGGATACGAGAAAAGAAAAAACGATGGTCGTCTCATTAGGATAGGTTTGAACAGAAACCGATCAAACGAAAAACCAATTCCGTGGGGTTGCGAAACAGCGAGAACAGATATCGAGTTAGATAGGACAGAGTAAACCGGCACTGTGTGGCAGTCCCCAAACGCGATTAGTTCAACGTTATTTCACACGAATTGGACCACTCTTGGAAATCAAACACACGGTACCGATGGTGAGACACCAGGAAATAAATCCAACTGAAAGACAGAACGTCAGTGAAAGTGAGCTTAGATTTAGCGCTACCCTGTCCTCGTGACATCTTCGTTGATGCCAACAACCACTGAGCCACATTAGAGAAAAAAAATGTCATCCTTGACGAGGCGGTACGACAAACATTTACATAAGATACCGTATCGTAGTGCACAACGGAATAGGGAGATCCCCATTTCTAGAGTATCGCGGTTCGAGTCCTGACAGGAAAACAAAAAGTACGCACTGCTGACGAGTCCCAAACAGGACGAAACAGCTGTCCAGTAATCTTGGTTGGTTATCACAAACATTCCCATCGCATTACATCCCCATTTCATTGTAATAATGTATTTCACTCGTGTTCCAAACAAGTCACATTACATTAATCTCAAAACAAGGAAAAGCATCGAGGTTTAACCCGTCGGTGGAATACTCCTAGGTTCTTTAGGTCAGCGCAGGGTTAGATCCCTGATAAGCATAATACACTGTCTTCTGATTACGCAAAAGAGGAAACCCGTGTTCTGAGGCCAATGGGTCATGCAAAGACCGAACAGAATAAGTGTAGGTTAGCACTAGGCAACAGTGGAAATCCAAAAGTGAAGGATAGTGGAATTTGGACCCTGAAATTTCCCAACCGACTGCGGTTGCTGGCAGAATGCTACCCAATTCGTCTGTTGATTAGGAAGTCAGTCTGATCTGAATTGATATCACAGTGCAGAACATTCCTTTCCTATAAGCCTATTCAATGTGTTTCAATCAGCGGTATGCGTCCACATGTGGTCAAGTGGTCTCTGGTCGAAGTTATACCAATCTGAAAGTTCGGATCCCACCACCGCTAACCGACCTTTTTCCATTCTGCATCCCCAGGTAGCGCCTCACCGGCTGCAGATATCCCCTCTGCCTGAAATTTGCCTCCGTAATCATACGGTCAATAACCGAAATTAAAATGAATATCTAACAAACAACATTTAAAATATTCTCGGAATGTCATCGGATAACTGTAACTGGGACTGACTAAGCTCCCTATGAACAGATGAACCGGAGGACGACTGATTCTAAAGAGTGTGACGAGGACAAAATGTCAACTCACTGGACATACAAATCGCCGAACGTGGAAATGCCGGGCTAAATGTTCATCGTAGGCTGGTCTAACATTGGTTCGATAGTCACAGTAGCCACAACAAAGACGATATTGGCCCCAGTGACTTTGGTTCTCGTGACGTCGTCGGCTGTGTATGGTGAGATATTGACGATTGCAGAATAAACATACATAGGGTGGTCCTTGCGAATCGGCAGTGGATTCCTCCGTCGAAACCTCACGAGTTGAATTGGGTCGATTGTTCTGAACCCGGGAGGATTTCGCGCCACGCTGAAAAAGAGCAGAGACTCGGGGTAACGTGTGGATCCAATTGATATCTTCAATAAACCCGCTAGGCTCGTAAAAGCATGACAAGTAAGCGAATCTGACGAATTCCAATGTGTGTGCAGCCACTCGTTTACTTGTGGTCAGGGATGTAGATCACCGATGAATGTTTGACCACTAAGCATCACACCAGTCACCCGAGAAAAGAAAAAGTGCAAACTGTCCACGTAATCAGAAACCAGTTTGCGTAGCATCGTGTAAGATATCTTGATATTCTCGTCTTACCATTTGATAACCTACGTTTCGCCAATCATTAGTAAGAAATGTAATTTTGTGGGTCCATTTCTGGAATGCACCGACAAATTCGGGAGTATCCATAGTGCGAAATTTCACATATTCCGGCAGAGTACAGCACCGCAAACTCCATCATTCACCTTTTAGCAGACTAGTTCATTAACTATGAGCAGTTTGCCCGATATGTTCAAAGAACCCCTCTTTTATTAGCTTCCTCAACTGGGATTCGGCAAGCTGCTACGCTATCATCCATCAATTTCGATTTCCACACATCGATATCAAGTACGTCGGTAATGTAGCTTTTAAAATTCNTTCGGATAATTCTATCTTTCCTGCTCCAAAATGTAGCATTTAACAAATTATACCCTGATACGTAGTGTGAAACCAGATTAAACGAAGTGAAATACGTCCAACTGTGTTGTGTCCCTAATACAATCACATCTGTGCTGCATGTGCTTACGTATGCACATACGATGATGACCTCATCTGAGAATTACCTCGGTATTGCTTAAAGATCGAAACCCAGTCTGACCAGTGTGAATTCAACATAAATCAGAAAACATTTTTAGTGATCGCTAACTAAAAACCTTACTAGTACGTTTACTTTTTTCCAAACGTTATTACCATGTACACATCTCTCCTTCCTACGGTCTATGCACCTCCTCATTGACAACCAAAATACCTAAATGTGCTTTCCATTTTACCATTTCAATAAAAATGAAGTAAAATTTATTATTATAATCGTTATCATTATTATTCAATCACTTTCGCGAATAACATCAAAGTTATTCTTTCAAAAACGTTCCCCAGTACATTTCAGCTCGTGGAATATGTTCAATTGAACTTTGGGCTNGGCAACCTAAGCCCCGGGGCTTGGTGTGGCGAACCACTAAGGCCTTGCTAGCTCAGGCGTGGTACAGAACCAGGCGACAGCAAAGCTGTCTACCACCAAAGTTGGGTGGCGGTGGCGGAGCTCGAACCTCGGACCACAGGGTCCAAAGCACGCCGGTGACAGCCACTAAACCACTTCGCCACTACCACCCATGTAATGTGTACTGTTGTCTAGCAAGCAAACTTGCTCCTTACTCAAAACAAATGGATATACTAGAGCTAACTAGAGCTAAATGGTACCTGCCACCCCGCTCAATTTCTTTGCAGCTGAACCACCTTAAATCGATTTCACGACTGAGTTGAATTTTCTATTACGATCATATATTTGACCGGGTAACAAGATATCACCGCTCGGCTCGCTTTGGAACCCACAATGAAATGGATTTTTAATTACGAAACATGCTACTGACAGACTGACAGTAGACGGAAACAAAATCGAAATATGGCAGTAGGCATGCTTACGCGTGACGTGGGTCGACCTCTGGGTTTTGATTTCAAATCCCCTCTTGAATGGTATAACGTAGCTGAGTGAGAGGTACTAGTCGCCAAGCTCTCCGGTAATCTGACTACCGTTGTCAAGGGACATTGTTCAACCGCGGTGGAAGTGTGAGTAATGTTTTGGGGTTCTTCGGCGATACCCACGGGATCGTCAGTGTCTATTCGTTCCAGGGAAGATATCACAGTGTTTCTTGCCTGGGCTCGAGAAATGCGATCAGTTTTTTGCAAAGACCTTGCGCTTCCGCCTTCGCCCGGTCGGGGGGAAAGACCGCCTAGGCTTGCAGGGATGTTGCCGTGTTGAAACAGATGATGGGCCTAGAGAACAGGACGGATAAAAAACAAACATGCTCAGAATTCACAGAACGATTTGTAAATGTAAATGTCTTTTTACTTCTTTTTAATTTATTGAATATACTAATGTAAAGTCAACTTTCAGGAATGAAGCCGCGACAATACAAAGGCTATATGGGAAAATAAAGAAATAGAGAAGATTTCAAGCGAATAATTGTCTTTAATAACTCTTAATCATGCAGTTACATATTGTATGAAAGGATAAAATCTAAAGGTTTGGTGAATACCATTAAAACGTGAGGAATCGATCGCTTTGTGCGTGTGTGCGTGTTGCACGCACACATCGTATCCAGGGCTCGGAGAATCTGCTCACCAGAAATATTGGAAGCTTAACTCATGTTCATCCTCAACGTGCTCAGAGGCAACGGCTACCCAAACCGATTCATTCAAAGAAAAATGATAGGACAAATACCAAAAGTACACCCTGATAGGGTGGAAAATGACTTCTTTGTTAGCCTGTCTTTTAGGCGCAAAGTTGCCGCCGAATCCCCCATAAGACGACCAAATCTGCAAGTGTTGTCAAGTTCGCCAGTTACGCTATACACATGGTCGGCTAACGATCGCAGTGTTCCTTGACCCAAAGCTGAACTTCAACCCAGTTGATGTGAAGCCCTAATGAGTTCGCTTCTACGCGAAGGGATGCCCGAGCGTAGGAAGTATACTGAGACCACTGTACTCGCATACTTCGAGTAGCGTAAGGGTCTATGACGAGCTAAGTAGATCGGTCGAAACCAAAAGCGATATTTCGTTATTATTGTTCTAGTTCGACGAAAACAAAATATTGCAGGAGGCACTTAGTGGTCTCCAAGTTGTTAGTATTGAATGGAAATATGGAGAAAATCTATAGGATTTGGAGTACGCTGAAGACCGCGTTTGCCTGTTCGAATGTACAGAAGATGCGCGGAGCGCAATTGACAGATTAACATGTGCAGGCTGGTTACACACACACACACACACACACACACACACACACCATGAAACGCTCCTATACGACCAAACGTCTCAAATTGCCTTTGATGTAGAAGCCCTACTCGCTGCCTGCCTGTGGCGAAGGTGTTTTCCCACTAAAGTGAGAGGACCAATAGCCGACATCCGAGACCATAACCGGATTGGTGAACCACTGGTAGTTCACCTAGGGGAGTGGGTCAAAAACCCTAAATCCAAACCAACCAAGAAAAGGCGTACTAACTACACCCACACCTTTTTCGATTGTGGGAATGGTCACCGGCTCAATTGGGCATTGAGGTGTATTGGGCACCTTAGACGTTTGACCCCGTCCGAAGGGCGTATGATCCGATGAAATGGACACCAATTCGCAATGGACTACGGTTCTCACACACTGCATCGCTGCCTTGCGGGTCAGGCTTTGGCTAGCCGAAGTCTTCGATTGTGGACTGCTCAAGAAAATTCACCTGCCTTGACCTGGACAACCTGGTAGTATTCAGCCCACAAGCCAATCATGGAACATTTTCTTTTCTACAAAGATTATTGTACCATGATTTCCTTGGCACACAGTCCGTCCTAGGATATTTGTGAAATATAACATGTAATAATAGCAGTATTGCACTCTTGAGCGAATTATGAAACGTTTTCTTTTAATAAAGATTAGTCGTTGGTGATTTGTTTGGCACAATCTCGACTCAGGCGTGTTAGAAAATATAACGTATATAGAACATATAGTAAATATATACGCAACGATTTCAGCTCAATAGACTTCGCTGTTTAGGACACACTTCGCACATGCCTGCCGGTCCCTTACCGCACCGAGTTCGGGAATATTACGTGGACGTAAACGGACGACGGACGCGCAAAGAAATTCACAGAGCTCTTGGATATAGAAGGTATCTCTCGGTTTCAATGTTGGGTTCCAAAAGACTCCGTAACTGGTTCGTTGGAGATAGTGAAGGATAGGGCAGCGAACCTACAGCAGTGGCGTTCTGATTATCACTTCTCATCATACCAGAATGCTCGAAAAATGTGCATGCACAGAAAGACTGTGTATGCTGTGTGTTGACCGCAGAGATTCGCTTTAATACCCCCCCCCTTCCACAAGATGGGCCCAGTCCCAGTCCACTCTACAAATTCTCACTTATTTTGTATAGATTAGGAGTTTGGTAACGATCAGTGAAGCTCAAATCAATGTATTCTTTTGTATGATGACGAAGAGAGAGAGAGAGAGTAAAAGAAAACGTCAACTAAAAGGTTTTTTCTCGAATGCCAAGTAGGGTTGATAGCTTTGAACACCTAGTTAGTACAAAACAGCACAAATGCCAAATTCGACTGGAGGATAGATTCCAAGATTCAACAAACACACACACACACATTGGCTACAACTTTGGTGCAACAACTGATCACGGTTGCAATTAATGAGTGGAAAAAATTATTTTGCTTCTATTTGATCGTTCGATCGTGAAGAATTTAAAGCAGCATCAGCTCCACAACTTGACAATCGACCCAAATAGAATGGGAACCTGTTTTACATTTTTTTTATTTCTACGTTCACGGTAGTCACTATATGTTGTTATGCGAATAACTATTTTTGGCAACTGTGAGGGTAAATGCGGATAAGGTGGATGATATGCGGAAAACAGTCCTAATAGATACAATCACGGAAATCGATCAAAAACACGTACGCGAAGCCGAGAAGCAACACGAAATTCCGTAGAGCAGCAACGACATACATACCGCCGAGCGGTCGTTTGCTTCGTCTCGTCCGTGGAATTGATTGAATCAGGAGCTTCCATTTGATCACGTGTGCGGTAACAGGTACGTCGAAGTGTTGATTTTCGTTTACGTCGCCATAACATGGCCCGCACGGTCCGGTCGCGACGTACGGTTGAGGTGAGTTGTTTATCGTCTGCACGTCGATCACCGGAGACGGGGCAAGATGCGTGATAGGACGGGTTTGTGGCCAAACGGGGTTCCATTGCGGAGGAAATTGTGAGCTGCAGGGAAATAAATATCGAGTAAGCAACATATTAGTAAGCTGACAAGCAGAATAACTAATTACCGGCATTATCCGATATTTTTATCGGACTTACTTCACCAGGTTCCGGCAGATCTACCGATGGGATTCCGGTTTCCGCAGAGTCTGATGATAGTGATGAAGAAGGAATCAATGATCCAGGTCCGGTCGGTGATGGATTAAAACGTTCGGACGAAACCGTTGGATCATATTTATCCATCTGATAGAAGCGCTCAAACAAACGGCGCACGCAATCGTGCAGGGCAGCCTCGCTTTTCGGATGCAAAAAGTCCTCACGGTTGTCCTCTGCGGTTGCCTGCAAAAAATGAAGATTCTTCTCAAGTCCAAGTTGACGTAATCTTCGTGTGACTGTAACAATACACTATTTTGCCCAGATCGGTCAAATCAACCTAGTAAGAATAGTACACCCATCACCGCCATTAATACCTCTAACTCGAACGTGTTTTGGGGCCGCTGGAAACAGACATTTTCCCGTTTGCTATCAGCATACATTCAACCGCACATCGAGTATGATATCCAGGTTTGGAATCTATGGCTAAGTAGTGACAAAAAGGCGCACAAACGATAGCAATCGAAGTGGTCAAGGTACTACAGTCGACGAACTACCTTGAAATATTAAAACTACTGTCACTCTACTCATCATGATACCGCCGGATTCGGGAGATTTGATCCACCTACATCAAATCTAAAATGAATCCAATCAATTGCGCGGTAGTTTGCCGACACTACCCAAAAACGATCAGTCCAGCGTAGTTCTTTCAAAACTGGTGCCCCAAAAGAGCGGATTACGTTGCTAGCGTTGTTCGTCCGATGTCAGACCATATTTCGCCTGGAAGTTCATTCCGCCTGAAGTTGCTTACGTTCCAACAATGGATTCGTTCAAGTTACGTGTCAACGAAGTATTGAAACACCTAACGGTGCGTGAACGTGGACACCAATTATTTTATGTACACTAGCAGCCAAACCGATTACGGGAAGATCCAAACGGATTAAGCAAAATTTGAATTGGAATGTGATCACGGAATGACAATAAAGATCATAGAATCCGGACTCACACAATTGGTCCGCACTCTCTTGCCCCTGGTCTCCCCGTGAGATTGTCCTCTGTCCGATTCATACGACGCATGATGAGCTTTCTTATGCCTATATGGAACATAAGGGAGAGAGAGGCGACGAGGGAGGGGGAATTAGTTTGACCGCTCACTTAAATACTCCACATTGATTTGCGAAAAAGACACGGAGACACAGATACAAACAACTTTTTATTAAACACTGGTGTGTGATGAGCAGCAAACGGGGTGAACCCCATAGCCACAAAGACCTACTGTTCAGGTATGGAAACCGGAAACCTAAGCCACGGAACTTGGAGTAGCGAACCGCATAAGGCCCCACTAGGTTAGGCGTGGCATTGAACCGGATGACAGCAAACCTGTCTATCACCAAAGTTGGGTGGCGGTGGTGGGGTTCGAACCTCGGATCATTAGGTTCAAAGCATGCAGCTGACACCGACTAAACCAGTGCCACCCTACCCTATGACTATGGGAACAAGGCAAAGCAAACATTCCTATCCATGGAGACAAAGGAAACAATGAACGGTTGTGGGGATAAGTTTACAAATGTTTTGAAAAAAATTTTACATCGAACCCGGATTCGACTTACTCCTGAAAATCGCTATAGGAACAAAACAGTGTGGTAGACTTGAAGCATAGTCCACATCTCCGACGTAAGAACACGCCGCATTCGGGAAAACCGAGCTCATTACCCCGAAGAAATAATGCCTTGTGTCGTCCGCTTAGACCACTTGACCGGCGCGAACTGGCCCCTTGGCAAGGCAAATTTACTCGACCCCAGTCGAAACATTCATGAGCCAGCAGCACAGCATGATTGTCAAACACGCCCTGACATCGCCAACAGACGGGAGCCAGATTGCTACTATGTCCTACGTACAAGTGTTTTTCCAACGATTTCCAGTCGGCGAATGTCTGATGACAAATGGGACAGCTGAGTAGTGCAAGCGGTCTGCGGGGCTTTAAGCGTTTCCACGTCGGGGAAGATTTGGTTGTGGAATGTCGGACAGCCCCAGGTTTCGTCACACAATCTTCACTAGCAGTGGCAGCTACTGTATTGGTGTCTCGCTTCGAGTTGTCCTGGTTAGGTGGATCAAGACAAATATCAAATGAGAAGAATCGAAGGAATTGGTATTTACGAATTCATAGGAGCACTGGGTCAATCCTAGACTGGATAGAGAACAGCTTTTCTTACCGTAGTTGAGTAGGAATGATGATTCTGGGCTGCATTTGATTTCCGAATGAAACTGGTTAAGTAAAGATATAGGGTGGTCTGAACTGGAAAGCCCGAAAGCATTGTGCAGTTGTGTTTCGAGCCTGTTGGATCTCACCGGGAATACACATTTTCACGTGTTTAACACTGTAGAGTCATTACGCCCATAGTGATGAAGCTATGGTGAACTACGCCCCTAGGAATGGGGGTGGTGAATCAGTGAGATAGGTATGACATTGAATTGTGTGGCAGATAAGCTGTATATCACCAAAGTTGGGCGACGATGGCATAGTTCGAAGCCCGGGTGTTAAAAGCGCAATTAAACCATTCAACTACTCATCAACGATCGAACCCGGGATTTCCTTAACAGAACGTGAACGTATAACGGAGATGACCGCAAGGCAGATAAAAATAAGTATTCATTTTATTCATGCATACGCTATATATAAGTGCCCATCTTTCCAAGCTTATTGTAGGTCACTTCCCCTGGGTTTGATTCTTAACCGGATTACTGGATGAGTATCAATGACAATAAGCTTGAAACAGATGTACACATCGCTTGTCGGTTACATTTGCTCCCTATACAAGCACCATCACACATTCATCAAATTGTATTTTTCCATTTTCAGTATGTTTAACCTTTATCAAGGGTTTTGATCAAAATTCTTCCTCTAATTCGATAAGGGCACGCACAGAATGCAGATAGAACTAAACGATACAAAAAAAGAATACTATATTCTCTTATGTATGTTTGCGCCATGCTTTCGAAAGGAAAAACAAGACTAAGAAACGCTCTCGGAGTCTGTTAGTAAAGGTGATAAAAATGAGATAAAAACCAAACTTCTATTGTGGGAAATAGCTAGGAGTTCGTTAGAACTAAATGGAGTATAAATCTGACGATTGTAGTCCCACCACATCAATTTGGGAATGCAGCCCGTCTGTAGCCATTCTTTGAGCGTGTTCCAAAATCTTGCGATCAGTATGGACTTGAATGATGCACTACATATGCAGTCTAATCTGTTCTGATGAAAGATGTGGAAACAGTATGTATTCAGATCGACGAAGTGTGCTTATAATGTCTTACGGATGAGAACGACGATTTTGAGCAGTCAATCAAACAACTACAGATTTTTTTAATGAAGAAATCAAAATC